GCAAGCAGCCTTTACACAAATAAAAGATAAAACAGGAAACAAGAAGAAATTATTGTACCCAAATTGTTAATCCAGGTTCCCAAGAAAAATGAAATTGATTGAATACTAGTATCAAAATGAAATAAAAGAAAATCCGGTTGCTTATTTAAGAATCAAGTTTTCTGCTTTTAGTAGTAAGAAGGTGGGGGTGAGCTTTTGTACTCAGTTTTTGGAGATGGTGAATACGAAGGTGGTGGTGGGGAATTGTAGACATATGGTGGTGGAGGAGACTTGTAATCCACCTTAGGAGATGGTGAGTAGTATGTTGGGGGTGGTGGGGAACTGTAGACATATGGTGGTGGAGGAGATTTGTAATCTACCGTAGGAGATGGTGAGTAGTATGTTGGTGGTGGTGGGGAACTGTAAACGTACGGCGGTGGAGGAGATTTGTAGTACACCTTAGGGGAAGGTGAGTAGTATGGTGGTGGTGGGGAGCTGTAGACGTACGGTGGTGGGGGAGATTTGTAGTACACCTTAGGGGAAGGTGAGTAGTATGGTGGTGGTGGGGAGCTGTAAACATACGGCGGTGGGGGAGATTTGTAGTACACCTTAGGGGAAGGTGAGTAGTATGGTGGTGGTGGAGAGCTGTAGACGTACGGTGGTGGAGGAGACTTGTATACAACCTTAGGGGCTGGGGAGTAACATGGAGGAGGTGGTGGACAGACGCATACATGTGGGTGTGGTGGAGACTTGTAGTATACTTTAGGAGAAGGTGAGTGGTATGGGTGTGGTGGAGACTTGTAGTATACTTTAGGAGAAGGTGAATAGTATGGTGGTGGTGGAGAGCTGTACACGTATGGTGGTGGAGGAGATTTGTAGTACACCTTAGGAGAAGGAGAATAGTATGGTGGTGGTGGAGAGCTGTAGACGTATGGTGGTGGAGGAGACTTGTAGTCTACCTTAGGGGAAGGAGAGTAGTATGGTGGGGGTGGTGGAGAGCTGTAGACGTATGGTGGTGGGGGAGATTTGTAGTACACTTTAGGAGAAGGTGAGTAGTATGGTGGTGGTGGAGAACTGTAAACGTAAGGTGGTGGGGGAGATTTGTAGTACACCTTAGGAGAAGGTGAGTAGTA